CCATGAGGAAAAGGTTCTTGAGGCAGAGGGTGGTGGAGCACTGGAACAGGCTCCCCAGGGAGGTGCTGATGGCACCAAGCCTGACCAGATGCCAGCAGCATTTGGCCAAGGCCCTTAGGGACATGGTCTGAATGTTGTGACTGTCCTGTGCCAGGGCAAGAGTTGGACTCGATGATCCTTGTGGGTCCCTCCCAACTCACAACACTGATTCTACGATTCTCTGACTCGTGACAAAGCGTGGTGTGATGCAACACGGGCAACACTTCTCACAGCAGCAGCAAGAGTTACTGCACTGCACATAACCCTTCTGAAGCCATTACAGTGTAATTTGTCCTTATCCCCCATCAGATTGAGCTGTCTTAGTTGGATCCAACAACTACATGGTGGAGAATAAACTACTTCAGTGAAGCTGACCCATGCAGGTAACAGGCCAGGGTGATTTTGGCTTCGCTGTGGGATCAGAACCTTGAATTAAGAGAGGGAAATGGGAATTACACAACCAGGGCTGCTCCCCGGGGAAGGCTGTAGCTACACTGGACACAGTGGTAAGTCAAAAAAGCAGCCTGAGAGCCAGGCAGCATCAGTACACACTAGATGTTTTCCTTGACCCACCAAATACTCATTTTTGAGAGGCAGAACATCCACACTCATGATTTATCTTTAAATAATCCTATCAAAGTGCCCCATACTTTTTTAGTGAGAATTAATCCAATATTTAGTATTTAATTCGGTATTGCATATGCCCCACACTGCCATAAGCTGGTTCACATTTATCCCCTTGTCATGCATCCAGTCAAAACCTCTCAGTAAGAGGTACCACGTGACAAACCTCTGGTGACAGAAGCAAGAAATCAATAGCCAGGAAAACTGCCAGCCTCACTTGAGAGGGGCAGCAAGATTTATTCACATCTTTGAAAGAAGGTGAGCGGGCTCCAGCCAACCAGACTGAAGCAGAGAATTATTTGGCAAAGCAGAAGACAGTGTAGGAAGCTCCCTGGTCTAAGAAGGAAGCCTTTTAAGAGGCACACTGATCATCAGGCTGCTTGGCAGTAAAAACCAAGAGGCATGAGCAAAAATGCTGCTGTCATAACCACTCAGGTGATAAAGGGGTCGGGAGCAGTGGATGACACCAGCATAATTTAACTGTTTACTCAAGTTCCAAGGCCAGGTTTAGAATCACAGAATGGTTTGGGTTGGAAGGGACCTTAAAGCTCATCCAGTTCCAACCCCCCTGCCAGCAGCAGGGACACCTTCCACTAGACCAGGTTGCTCAAAGCCTCATCCAACCTGGCCTTAAACACTTCCAGGGAGGAGCAGCCACAACTTCCTTGGGAAACCTGTTCCAGTGTCTGACCACCCTCACAGGACGAACTTCTTCCTCATATCTAATCTAAACCTGCCCTCTTTCAGCTTAAACCCATTTCCCTTTGTTTTGTCACTAACTGCCCTTATGAAAAGTCCTTCCTCAGCTTTCTTGTAGGCCCTTCAGGTACTGGGAGGCCGCTATAAGATCTCCCCGGAGCCTTCTCTTCTCCAGGCTGAACAGCCCCAACTCTCTCAGCCTGTCCTCACAGCAGAGCTGCTCCAGCCCTCGGTACTTGAGCAGATTCTGCTTAAACAAGCAATTTTTATAGAAGCTGTACAATGCCACAGAAATCTGCAGGGCTGTACTCCACCAGGAAGACACAGGCTGACAGTACCTCCAGAAACACTTGCAACCTTCAAGGGTAGCCTGGCACAGGGCCACGTTCCAGGGTCTCCAGTCACCTACACCAACAAATAACCCTCATCCTCCACACTAGAAGGTTTGCAAAGCGAAAATAAGCATAACTACCCAGCCAGCTCCCTGCTACAGAAGGCTACAGCCAGCATGTACAAGACAAGAGTCACTTCACAGCATGGTTGTTCTGAATTTTCCAAGTTACCCGCTTCACAGACCTTGGTGTTGCTACCTGAATAGATTTCCATGACTAAATGAACTGCGCTACATCAAGGTATTTCTACTCATCCCACAGCACAATTAAGAGACATCTAAATCAACACACCCATGCCATTTATTTCTCAGAAACACCAGAAACAAAAGGACAAGTTATCTTCTGAGAACTTTCTTAGTTTGATGAGTAAACAACTGCTGGTAGAATACTCCATATGGAAGATGTTTCCAACACTGTGGCCAATACTGCATAGGCTGGTTTTGGACACATGAAGCCTGGTGGAGAATCCCATCTCGTTACCTCCCAAAGGCAGTCTTGTGCACTGGTCAGACCTTCAGCGAAGGCTGTAACTGTGCTTTAGGAGAACTTCCCTGCCTGAGGTGGCGGGCCAAGGAATCCCCCTGCTTGCTTGGTGGCAGCCCGGGAAGGAGCAAGACCGAGCATCTTCTGGATGTTCTGCAGAAACGAGAACAGAAAAGCAGGACAGCGTCAGATCATGATGAGAGAGAAACCAAAAGAGGAAGAAAACCCAACTCTGCTTACAAGTACAACCTGCCCACTAGTTTCAACAGATTCAACCCACATAGCCTTACCAGTCTGGCTACTCTATATTGGACCTCTATCCCTATACATTCAAAAAAAGCTTAGTAGAGCCAGACAACCACACACAATGGCTACAACTAGAGCTGGGCCACTCTCCCCCACCTCAGCAAAAGCCTTCTGATCATTAAACCCACATTTTGGTTGAAGATTCTTTTCTACCTCCAGCTCCACACCACACCACACAGCTGGCAGGTACCTCATTAATGTTTTTGCACATGGGTTGGTTTAAAAATCAACCGACAATAGTTGTCTTTGCAATTTAACTGCAGTGCACACGCAGGAGCAGGTTCCTAACATCTGCTCACAGGCAGGACCAAAGCAGCCCTCAGTTTTGACAAGACCCAGAAATCCCTGTTGATGGTGGCCATCAGAGCCTGAGGGTCTGCAAGCTGGCGAGGAAGGCTCTCTCCTAATGCAGACGGAATTTGGGTCAGCCAACATGGCAACCAGAGTGTGTGCCAAGTTCAAGTCAGGAGCTTAAGCACAGAATTAGCATGAATGCTAGTGATGCAGGCAGAACAATGGCTTGGTGGAGACATGCAGTACAACAGGACATATGCAGCAAAACCCACAAACTGACTACTGAGATGACATCATCTGCATCTGAGCAGGGTGTTTCACTGGAAGACAACAAACAAGGAAAGAATTAAGTAGCAGAGCCAGGCATTAGCCAAAAAAAAAAAAAATCTCACAGTAGAATATTTAAAAGCTTGAAGTTTTCATCGATTTATATGCAATTCCTTTTAAATTTTGCAACAGTGCAACTACAAAGAGCTATCACTTTCAGTTTCATCCTTCACTGTAAATAACTACAGCTCAAGATGCTGCTCGTGCAGTACTGGCAAAATCTGATGTGAGAGAAAGAAGAAAACAACAATTGTGTCCCCCTCATGTCACCAGCTAAGTCCTGGCTATCAAAACAACAAGAGGAAGGAGGATTCTCTTCAAACCTGAGTGGTCTCTCCAAAATAACTGTCAGGATAGGTCAGATAGCAAGGTCAGACAGTTTTTGAACTTAAAAAAAAGCAGACAGAGGTTCATAATTCCACAGTAGCTAAAAAAAATAAAATAAAATGGGAATAATTCTGGGTAGAGACTATGAGAAGGAAGGTTTCAGCCCACACACAAGCATGAACATAAAGGAAAGGAACACTTGAAAAGGAGTTACACCAGGTTTAGTCCGTGGCCTACATAAATCAGCCACTGGCTGATAATTCAGCAACTGATTATATATGAGAGCATTTCACTGTGGGAGACACCGTGTGGTTCCTCTTTTCAAAGCCTCCTTTAATCATGAGAGGGACAGAAGAAAGAAAACAAAAGAAGCTAAAGGACAAATTCAGCAACACCAGAGGGTGCTGCAGAGTCAGCATCAGGCAGGATCAGGATCCTACCAGCTTTGTACTGGCTCACCCATGGAGCAGAGCAGAGCAGAGATCCTACCAGAGCATCCATGGAAGCAGAGAAGTGTGCACTACCTCCTCCCTGTTCCTTTGAATATCAAGGGATTAAAACTGTGGTGCTAAAGTTTACTCCATCTTGAGAGGTTTACTCCACATGAATAGTTCCAAGAGGAAGAGAAATGACAGCTTGTCTGTATGTGGATTCAAGACTACAGTCATTCTCCAGCATTATCTTTCCATAGGGGTCATCTCCTCGCTGTGGAAGGCAGCTAGCCTCCTGCACTAGCTGCAAAGCAAGTCTTGTTGGACATCAATCCTGAAGTGTGCACAGCTGGAAACAGTGGGGCTGGAGTAAGGACCAGCAGAACCCTGTCCTGTCTGCTGTGCACCATGTTGCACAAGGAAGCCTGCAGAGTCTACTTCCAACACAAACAAGACCATCACCTTCACGAATAGAGAGGGAAGACTATAAGACTTAAGGATCCAAACTCCTCATCTGAACTCTCCTGAACTCTCCTCAAATAACTGCAGGAAGGACAGAAGCTGCTTCTGCTTTTGTCTTCAAGCCCAGATGGGGCCTCAAAGACAAGGCAGCAGCAAGTGGCTCCCTGCCCCAAGATCAGGCCGCGTGGGAAAGTACACTCCTGGCAGTAGGGATAATTGCTGGCTCCCCTTCCCACTGGGAACACATCTCAGAGAGAAGCAGCCTAATCTACAGCTCAGGCGTGTGTGAAAAGGAAATGAAGACGAGCAAACGCCTGAGGAACAGCCCCATATTCCTCCTCACAAACAGCACAGGTGAAGGCTGGGAGTTCAGAAACAGGAGCAGGGACAGAGGATGTAACCCTGACATTATGCCTCCCGCCCAGCCCAGCAGCAGACTTTCCCAGCTGAAACCCAACAGCTCAAGGACCTTTGGAAGGCCTCTCCCAGCAAGCCTCCTCTCTCCAAACAGGAAGGCAGGAGGAACTAGGGGACAGGATTTACGTGCCAGGGAGAGCTGGGAACGGCGCAAAGGAAGTTACTCACTGCGAGTTGACTATTTCGGGAGATGCTGGCCAGGTCACAGGCAGCAAGCTTCCCCGTCTGTGTTTGAAGAGTTTATCACCCTCACATGCCTGAGGACCACATGAAGAGACTGCCTGATGCTGCTACTGCCTGTCCCACTAATGTCAGGTTAATCACCATCCAGTTAGTCTCCCCACCCTCACATACTCCCCTGCATTTCCCTCCAGGTCACTTTTTTTCCTCCACACACACACATATAAGAGTTCCTCTACTTCTGAACTCCACAGGGACATCTCTCTTCCCTGCCTTTGATCCCTTCACAGGCAGCTCCAAGATTTAAGAGAAGGCTGATGGATGTATAGTCTCCCTAGCTTGTTTGCAACCTGTTCCCTGACTTTTGGTACATTTCCACTCCTCCTCTTGTGTTAGCAGCATCAAGCCAGACACTAACTCCCACATCAGTACTCCTCCCTTGGGCTAACAGCTGTTTTGAAGCTGACCTAGTGAGATAAACACTAAACACAAGTCTTTGGCACCATTTTAAATCCTTAATTACTTTCTTTCCCTCTCCCCCCTGGCCTCTCACAGTCCTTCAAAGTCCTCTTCCCCATGCTGTTATCAGTTCTTTCAAATAGCAATAAAGTCAAGAGCAGGATGCCAGCAAACCCAGCTTCAGTTCCCAGCTTTTGCACAAACTAATGTGGCCAGTCTCTGCCCTTCCCTCCACGTAGCAAGGAGGAAGAAACCGAGCTGCCTAACAGCTGGAGAGCTGCAGGTACAGTTAACCACAATCACACAGATAAGGCAGCGCTGTGAAGATGTCAGTCTAACACTTCAGAGCAAAATCACCCCTCTCCAAAGCAATAAAGTAACTTCTGTTCTCCACAGGGCCATCAGCATGAACTCTCAAGCACAAGGGCAATTTTTTTTCCCCTCTCCAGAATTTCTCTTAAAGCCCAACCCGCTGCAAACAGCTGAGCATTTCAGCCCAGCAACAGACTGGACCACCACTCAGTTCATGCTGTCTACTGATTTCACAATAGGGAAGATCAGGAAATGCCCAGGACTAGAACTAACCACAGGAATTACATTTTTTGGACAAAAAAAAAAGGGGGGATTTTTCAGCAAGGGAGTCCCCCAATCAACCCAGTGAAAAATTTTGCTGATGGTGCTATTTACTTTCACATAATAATCTGCAACACTGGAAAGAAGGGACTTTCCAGGTAACAGGTGAGTAACACAGCAGCACCAGACAAGATTGCCTGAAGGAACAGCCTCAGACCACAGCATCCCAGGAATTCAGGAAGGTGATCCCAGGAGCTAAAAAGGTCTCATTTCTTTCAAAGCAGCAAGCACTGCTCCAATTACTGGGAAGTGAAACAAGATTTATCTTGCAGCAAACAGAATGAGGAAGGCCCTGGCCTTTGGTACTCTGAAGTCCTTTGGCTCCCCCTGAGGAAAAGCAACAAGTTGGTCAAGGAGAAAATCAGCAGCAAGAATTCAGGAAGTGAATCAAAGAAAAATATAAATACAGAAGAGCAGATCTATTAACTTATCGTGGGCACTCTCTGGAGAAATTTGGTTAATCAAAGTAGACCTCTGGTTGCAGTGAGAAGGACAAATTGTCCTTACCAGCCATTCTGCCACTAGTGAACCTTCCTGAACAGACACTTCCCTTATCCTCACTGATCACAGAATCACAGTGGTTGGAAAAGACCTTTAAGATCATTGAGTCCAACCATAAACCCAACACTGCCAATTCCACCTCTAACCCATGTCCCTGAGCACCTCGTCTGCCTGTCTGTCTGTTAAATCCCACCAGGGAAGGTTTCTCTTTTCAAAAGCTGGGACTAACCAGCTTTGCTGAGGAGCTATCTGTAGCCTTCTCTTGGCTTAGCATATCAGACCCTCTTTCTGTGTCACATCCCTAACACTGGGAGAGTCTCAACACCAAAGGTAAAATACTTAAGACTGGGGGAAATAAATAAATAAATAAATAAATAAATAAATCAAGGAGTCAGCAAAAACAGGAAGGGCAAACCCAAAAGAACAGGTTTAACTCTTTCCTCACTTGTCTAGCAAATTTATGGACTGATTAAACCTTTATAGAACCTCAAGCCACCAATAAAGTTGCTACACTTCTCTCCCATTACTGTAAATGTCATGATTACTGAGAAGCAGTACTTAGATTGGCTTCTGATGGAGACAATCTCTTGGTGGGGCAATCCACAAAGCTGTCAGACACACACATAAGATACCTATTTCTGCAAACTCTGTCCTAACACCCCAGTGCAAGTCTCCAGTCAAGTCTCCCACACCAGTCCAGGACAGTGGCTGTTTTTATGATGCCAATCTAGAATTCCTTTGAATATGAAGCATAGGAGTGAAAGGCAAACACAGAAACCACAAAGAGATCAAAGATTAGACATGCAGAACTGGACAGCAGTAATAAACCCAGCTTTATGGATGGAGATGTGCTTTCCCTGCTCCATGCGTGGAGAAGGCACAGCAGTGTACTCACCTGTCTGATAGACATTGTGCAGAGAATGTAGAGGAAGATGAAGGAGCAGTCAGTGTAATCCTCACCCAGAAGGTTGCGGTGAGAGAGACCTTGGATGTACGAGAGGGGGATAAACGGAAGCTTTGCCACCACTCGGCCATCAAATCTGGAAAGAAGAGCACTGGATCACAACTGGGAACAGTAAGAGACTTTGGCTGTAGAAAGAATAAGTGAGCATCTTCAACAGGCTGTCACAGCAGACAAGACCTCCACACCCAGCCATTCCCAGGGTAAGTAGGCTTCCCTCAGTAACAGCTTTGCCATAGTCAGAGGCAAAGTGTTTCACAGTGATTGAAGTGATCACCTGGACAACCTGTTGGTTCATGAAACCTCGATTGGTGTTTTGCCCTTTACTGGTGCATTTTATTTAAAAAGATTACTCCCCAGAACACAGTCAGCACTTGACTAGAAGATGGATGACTATCACCCTGCTGGATTGCACTTACTGCAAAAACATGGACTCTTTGCTTTAAGCAAAAGAGCATTTTTTAAGCAAAATAAAACCAAAGACACCACCTTTTCCTTTCCTAGAGCAGTTATACTTCTCAGCATAAGAACGTTGCCCAAGAGCCATCAACAGAATGTCTTTTAATACTAACAGTCTTCTCCGCATTAGCTCTGAAGACAAAGGCAGTGCAGAGGCAGGATGATACCACATATTCCAAGCAGGCTGTACTGCTCCTGGAACTCCTCCAGGTCCACATTCCAGGGCATCAAGCAGAGTGTGAATTCTGGCCAGTTTGCAAAGATTTCTCCCAACCCAGACAGTCGACCTAATCTTTTGAAGTAAGTGTGTATGATGCCTCATCAGCATGTGCATATTTGGATGTTATTTTCTCTGCATGCACTGATTTTCTAACAGGTGTTTCTTGTTTCAAGAGATCCTAAATGAGCGTTCTTTCCTGTGGAGATGCATTCACACAGCTCCAGCTCAAACACACGCCAACTTTGTTTACATCTCACAGGCAGTTTGGCAAAAGAGCTAGGAAAGGATGTTTATCTCCCTGTAACATCCCCCAGTGGCTTCAAATTCTGCGTAAAAAAAAAAATGACAAGTACTTCAGCAGTAGCACCCCCAGGTACCTGCTTTTAATTCCAGCAGGTTTTCACAGTTATCATGAAGGGCTACTGAAATGCACAACTCAGAGTAAGACTAAGAACTGACTGCATTAAAAAGCTTCCCACAAGAGAAAATTGAGACACACAGAAGCTGATTTCTCTCCCAGGAGAAGTCCAATGTGCTTGGAGGCCACCACCACTACAGATCTTACTGCCCTAGTGCAGCTTTTAAGCCACAACAGTCACTCAGCTACTCATCTTCAGTACAGCATTCTGCTCTTTGGATTTAAACAAGCCTTCTTCACACTTAGATATCCTTCCAGCATGGTCCACCCTGCTGCCTCATCACTACTGACACTCTAAGAAAGAGCCAGTCATCACAGTAATTAACATTTTAATAAGCTGGCACTTGGCAAAGGTGAGGTGCCCAGCCACAGAGTAGCATCGTCTGCATAGTACTTGTCCAAAGGGCAGCACATCATGCTACTTCCATGCAATTCCCAGCTCCTTTTATCCCCCAGAGCAATGAACTCATTCAAGAACAGGAAAGGCAAGCAAATTAGGCTACAGCCATTGCAGGTGTCAGCCACCCTTTTCTTCCTTTTCACACCACACCCACAGCACCCCCGTGGATGACCTGGCAGCAGCAGCTTCCCAGAGGGAGCCTAAGAGCCTCTTGAACTCCTGACTGAAGTACTCCCCTTCCGAGAGATAAGCAGCTGCTCTTTATGCTGTGTCAAGAGAATGACAATACTTGATTGAGAACAACCTCCATCAAACCATTCTACCAGCTTCAGACAGTGCAGGTACAACCCAACCAAGCTGCCATCCACATACAAATGTACTAGCTACCTTGTACCAAGAAAAGGAGCAAAAAACTAACTATCTAGCCACAAAGGCAAGATAGCCAAATCTTTAGATTTTAATTCATTAGCCTCAGCTATGAGCAAGAAAGCTATTCCAATTTGAACAAGCAGTGAGCTCTCTGGATACTCCTGCTACTCATGTTCAAGTTCTCCCTAAAGAAAGAGACAGTTAAAGGAAAGATATGCCCCAAGGCTTCTCAACTCTGTGGCTCATAGCATGGTCTCTGTGGGCAGGAATCCTCAAAAGAGGAGCAAGACAAGTAAATGTGGTGGTCTTAAAGGAGAAGAAACCAATAAACTCATTTTTTTAGGTTAATGTCTATGGAACAAGGAGCCACACAAGATTTAACCAAAACTTAACCAAACCACAATTTAGCTAAACTCCTGAAGCTCTTAATGGTTTTATAGTCTTGTAACACTTGTCAGCCATGGCATACTCTGAATTGCCTCTTCCTCTAGGAAAGTGGGCAGCAAAGGGTGTTGTGTTTTGTTTAACTTTGTTTCTCAGTTTGTTTCAGAGCCAGCAGTGGTGGTAGGGGTTTTATTGTAGCCAAAAAGCTAGGCAAGCACTTGAATGCCTCAGGTGCAGCACGACAAATCCCCCATGGACGCTGTGTCACTGAGCACATGACTCACAATGCACCTCCATCCCCACTCAGGGCTGCCATGAAATGAAACATCAATGACTCAAGACTGTACCCAAATTTTGAAGTCCTTTAGTGCTGTGTTCCTCTGCTTATTTTCACAGCATTCCAAGGAATGTTAGATGCTGAAGTCTGACTAAGTTGAATAAACAGAGGCCAGAGTGGCACTTGTGTTATTATGTTACCCTGTTTGCAAATTTATCCACCCACAGACCAGCAGTAAAATAACAACTGACTATCCTGGGGATTGCCAGCACAGACACTAGAGGTTTTGGTTCCCAAAAACACAAATTCATGTTTGCAGGACAAAGTATATTGCCCAGATATTAAGCAGCCTCCCAAAGGTCATACTAACCATATTCAAGTCATCTTCAGATTTAGCAGCCAATGGCAAGTTCACATTTCAAGACTGAATCAAGTTTTAAGAGCCAAGTACAGTCTTTCAGTTTTGCATGTCTGAAACAAAGCTGTCTATAACCATGCAAAAACTAGTTGGTTTTTTTTTTTTTTTTAAACTAGACCTATCCCAGGTCATTTTTAAAACAAAGGAAGATTAGAGCCCATGCCTGGACTTGTTAGTATCTTGACTCTGATCATCTTAAGTAGGGCAACAATTAACTCTGCAATTATAGCTCATTTCTAAGGGCAAGGGAGCTGACCCAGTTTTGCTTGCGAGGGCATTCTTTGGCCACACTATTACAGCAAAGCCAAAGAAGCTGCAGCTGCTTGCCTGACATCTACCAAGCTTGTCCTAATCAAGATGGTCCCAAGCAGCAAGGATGTTAGAGTTGTGTCTAGATTGAATGTAATTTGTTCAGTTTGATTGCACTGAGGATGCAGTGTTCCCTCTTGAGCTGAACATGTGCGTTGTGGCCAAACAGTCACATCTTCATATGAAATATTGATCTATTTTAGACAGATTAATGATGGTTCTTGGATGGACTCTGTCACTCCAACACTTCAGGGAAAGTGGAGTTCACCATTAAACTGTAGGGAAAATCCAGGAAGTTGATACTTACATGGAGTTAAACATTCCCATCAAGGCAGTGAAGCAGAAGCCAATGGCAAACATAGATTTCATCCGAACCTGCAAGCAGAAAGGTCAGAGATAATCAAAAGAGCAGGCCCACACTGAGGGATTATGGGCTCAGACCCTTAAGAACAGGCTTTGTACAGCATCGCTGGAATTTAGACAGAAAAAAAGATGACTCAGAAGGCCAGATGGATTGTAAAAGTGACTGCAGAACTCAGAGAGAAGTCTGGTCAACAGCTGGGTACAAAGGCAGACCCAGAGTGGACCACTGATGTAAAGAGCTGCTTCAGGTAAAAAAAAAGAACCAAAACAACAAAATCCTGAAGAATTGTCCTGTTAGCTTTCACAGGTTGTTTCTTTTTTGTTAAGCCTATACAACCAGTCAGTAGGGGATCATTATGAAGACAGAACTTACAACAGGAAGTCAGACAAATTAATTCTACTTTGAAAACATCATGGAGATTTAGAAAGACGAAAATAGCTAAGGTTGGGCATGAGATGAAGCAGTAATTACTAGAGAACTCTGTGGTTCATACTGAAATCTGTAGCTATTAGATATAATCCAGAAGGACCTGTCAGGAGGAAAAACTGCTATGTTTGCCAGTTGAACAAAGTCTTTCCGTTGGAAAGATGACTAAAACCTTCAGCAGTCAGGAACTAGCTTTTATTTTCTTACCATTGACAAGTCTCTGTTGTTATTCTTCAATTTCTCTTCTTGTCTCTCTGGAAAGAGAAAAATAACAACAGTTATAATCAGTTATACCAACTTAGAAACCAGAGTGTTTTCATTTCCAGGAAGACTTAACCTTTTTGGCTCTCCAAACAACTAACACTTCCAAAACCAATTCCAACTCTCTATGCCAGACAGTATGAAGTGAAAAACCGTACGCAGCCAACTGCTTCTCCATCACAGCAACGTGCAGCACAGTAGGCACAAAAGAGGAGGAGGTTAGAATGACACATTCAGCACTTCTGAAAGAAATGCACAGAATGTCAAATCTGCTAACTCAACCAACTAACACAGTAGCATGAGCAATGTGGCCAGAAAACAAAGACAGTGTCTCTGTACCACCCTTCCGAAAGAGAGCAGTCTCCATTTGCTACACACCAGGCTCACCGTTATAAATACATTCGATAAGGATTTCATTTTGGAGGTGTCAGAAGGGACCCTGAAACTGGACACAGAGCCAGGAGCTGCACCTCAGCAAAGCTAACATCCTGCTGGTCTTGGTAATGAACTTTGGACCCTTGTCACACCTAAAAGATTCTCCAAAAAAGGAAAGATGTTTTCTATGTTAATTTCAGTCAGGTGTGTATTGCTGTGCTTTGCAGAGAATACTTTAAAATACTACTTAGGAAATTTAATCTGTCCTTAAGTCATTAAACCTCAAAGACACCCAGTTTTCTGGGAGAGCATTTTCCATGCTCCTCCTCATTGAAGTGCTGCTCTGGCCTCAAGCATTATCCACCACATGCCACCTTTCTTGGCCCATTTGTCCACTGTGCTCCTCTCAGACTGAGGATCCAGAGGGGCAGCCAGTGCTTGGATGAACACCCAGCTGAAGTAAGGATGTGGACAATGAAGAAATACCCAAAGAACAGTGTGAGATAAGAGAGAGCACATGCAGAAAGGCTGTCAAGGACTATCCAGCATGCAAGTTGTCCAGTGGATCCCTGCTGAAGTTTCAGTACAAGAGGCCCAGCAAGAAGGTACAAGAGGTACAGCACAGAAGCTCAACTGTTATCTTCCAAGCCCCCACTAAATACAGGGGCTCACAGTAAGTGTTATGAAAAGCAACTGCAACACCTCTAACCAATTCTTAGAATCTTCACTGCTGTTTTCAATTGCTCCTAACTATAAACCATCCCCTTGGGCAGGAACTTTCCAGACACCTGCTTCCTGATCCAGGTGGAGAGTTTTGTTCTGAGATATTTCAGCAACCAGAGATCAGCTCTTTAGGAATCACATTTGGCACAAATACTTGTTTTTTCCCTTGCTACATAACTAACCATCCATTTAGATGGGCTAAAGGTTACATAAAGAATACAGCCCTGTTCCCCCCAAAATACCTGACCTGTTTCTCACCCATTTCTACAAATTCAAAACAAACAGGCTCCAAGTGTCCCACCATCTGACCTAAATGGTCTATTCCTGCCCAAAAGTACTTTGCTGTACAGCTGGGGAGAGGCACAGAGAAAGAGGCAACAAGCAGCAGCCTGGAATCCAAAATCATCTATATTCTGCTCATTGGAACACAAACCACGAGGGTACAGGAATAATCTTCACCAGCATTGGCTTCTTGGGCTTTTTTTGTTTGGTTTTGTCTTGCTGTCTACCCAGAGCTTATGTGGACTACTGGGAACATCATTCTCTTTTCTTCTAGGTGCACACAGACACAGAAAGCAATAGCAAAGTTTAAGCTAATAAACACACTCCTTAAGCTGAAAGGACAGAAGGCTGCACCATCCATCCAGGTTGGATGAGGCTTTGAGCAACCTGGTCTAGTGGAAGGTGTCCCTGCTGATGGCAGGGGGGTTGGGACTGGATGAGCTTTAAGGTCCTTTCCAACCCAAACCATTCTGTGATGTTAAAGGTGTGCTTGTGCTGTTCCAGCAGTGTCAAAGGTGCTTTAGACACAACGTGACTGACGTTGGTTCACTTAAAAAGTTTGATAAGTAGGAAACACCAAATTAATCCTTCCCATACAATTTTCACCCTACCTCCTTGTGTACATGCATGATTCATCTCTTACATAGCCAAGTAAAATCACACACACACACACCCCTCCTGCCTCATTCTGTGCACAAAACAGATGGCAACTGAGGCAGGTCCCTACCACTGGCTGGGACTTGTAGAGCCTCTGCTCTTTTTTTTTTAAAAACCAAAAAAAAACTAGAATGGAAGAATTTAAAGGAACTCCAGCACAAGTACATTTGCTGTTATAACACTGCAACACCTTGCAGAATGATATGACATCCACTAAGTTACTGGAATTGAAGATTTCTAAAGCAGTTAACAGCTGTGAGTGATTTTCTGGATGTCCAGCCTGACATTTAGGGGCTGATTTTTCAAAAACACCAAGAGTTCAGTTTTGCTTGAAAACAAATGAGACACTGAAGTTAAGCAGCATTTGCTTAAAAAAAATTATAATTAAAAAAAAAATCAGTCTTGGTATCTGAGGCTTGGCCACAAAGCATCACAGCAAACAAAATCAGTGGTCATTTCCTAAGTTCTGTTCTTGGCCTCTTTGTGCTTTGTTTTTTATTTGCAAAACAAGATGATTTCAGTGTCTAAAAAAATTGGTGGAGCATCTGAATTCCTCGGATTCTACTGTTTATTAGTTTAGTCCAAGCACAAGTAAAATATTCTCTGCTAGGAACACAGCTTGGATGGTGTCCTGCAAAAAAACGCCACACATTAAAAAATGATCATATGTAACAACAGCACAACATGAAAAAGTTGCCTTACCCACCAAGTAGCATTCATCCCACGCAGGGATTACTTGAGATTAAGAACTGAAAATGCACAAGAGGAAGAATTTTGGCTCCTGTCCCTTCAGGAGTCTAATGATAACAGGTTTTATACCTAGGAAGAACTGTTTGAAGATATGTTTATAGTTATTCCCAAGCTTTGTACAGATCAAATGACTAATCCAGCTACCTGGTGTTACAGAGGAATGAGGAAACCAACTCCCAGGAGCTCTCAGAAGTGTTCCTGACACAGCTTCTGTAATAATTTAACTGGGCTTTGCTGCACGTTTTACTTTAGAGTCCTGCAGATAACAGAACTTTCTAAAGTTCATGTCCATTAAACACCTACCATGTTGTTCTTGCATGGTTCAGTACTTGCCTTTACCAAGAAAGGCTTAAGCTTATTGACAATGCAAAAGAATGGAAAAAATAAAACACTAAAAATTGAGAAAAACTGATTTATCAAACTTGAAATAAATCTAAGCTCACTTACAGTTAACAGGCAAACACCTTCAGCTCTGAAGTGTTCAAATGGGGAGGGTTGGGGGGGGGGGAAGAGAAAGATCCCAGGCTGGATGAGGCTTTGAGCAACCTGGTCTAGTGGAAGGTGTCCCTGCTGATGGCAGGGGGGTTGGAACTGGATGAGCTTTAAGGTCCCTTCCAACCCAAACCATTCTATGATCCCCAAATCACAATCATGAAGTCATACAGCTACTGCAAGCTGACAGTGCACTGCAGCAAACAGCTTTGACATCACAAATTAATAACAGTCATGGCTACAAAGGCTCAAATCAGAGAAAGGCAACCAGTTCAACAAGAAGTGCTGCTCCTTGTAGTGACACTGTCCTTCTCTGCACTTGAATAAAACTATCAGAAGCTTAGATGCCTCTTGCCTTGAGGAAGTAAGGCAAAAGTATTTGTATTCCAGTCACCAGGCCAAGAATCAGCTCCAGTACCACTTTAACAGCTTTGAAAGGAAGGAAAGGATAATCACCTTTACTAGTTTCTCAACTCTCCCCCATTCTTGGGGCAGCACACTCCCCTCCCAGCCTTACCTATTTTCTTTTTCTGCTGTCGGCCTGCTGATTCAGTTATTGTTTCCTTCTTCTTCTCCACTGCCAAGTGCAAAGAAAGATATTCCATCATTTGTGCATTGGGATACCACCTCCCCTTTTCCACACACCAAACAAAACATTTTATTCCTTTAGATAACAGGGGCACAAAAGGAAGCCAGGTATAACGAAGAACATATTCAGAATCAACATGTTATAAAGCACCAAGGCTGACCTCACCAAACACTTTAAGATTAAAAAATAATAATAATTTCAAAACCCTGGATGAGACATAGGAATACTGAAAGGGTTAATTTTAAACTCATTACATTGTTAGCTGAGCAGTCTGGGGACAATTTTGGCTCAAATGACCCTTGCTGATTTGTCATTAGTACTAGACAGTACTTTTGATTCAGCAAGTGTAATGAAAAAGAGCTTTGTGACAAGCTCTGCTCCCTATTATCTGCAGTGGGAAGCAGAATACAGGAAAGCCTGTGTTCTCGTACATCCCTTCTTCACAGGCAGGCATTCTCGGGGGAAATGCTGCCCAAGCAGTCGGCCACAGCCTCTCCATTCTTCAATTAATTAGTACTGAAGCATTTCCAATATTTTAAAAGTAAGAGCCTAAGCTCAAAGTTACTAAGACCCCAAATCAGACACTCAACAAGCACCTGCAAACAACTACCACTGCAGCAAAAAAAAAACCTAACATAACCAGTATAGTGGGCTTACAACCCAGTGAGTGAGCTACCTGTAAATGCTCCTCTGATCACAGCAAGAAAAGCTTTCCCAGAAACTGAGAGACCTTTAATTTAAGGCCTATAACAAGACTACTACAAGTAGTAGGTTGCCCAAGGAAGTTGTAGATGCCCCCTCCCTGGAAGTGTTGACAGGCCAGGCTGGATGAGGCTTTGAGCAACCTGGTCTAGTGGAAGGTGTCCCTGCTGCTGGCAGGGGGATTGGGACTGGATGAGCTTTAAGGTCCCTTCCAACCCAAACCAGTCTGTGATTCTGTGATAGGGTGGTAAAGCACAGCTATGGTCTAACAACAGCTATCAGCCCTTTTTTACTCTAAACTCTACGTACCTGTACCATATTTACCATGAATAGACTTGGCTCCTTATTAGCTCACAGAACCAGCTTAGAGACCCGAGCATCAGGACTCTCTCCCACATGAAGCACTTACTAACTGAGCACGGCTCTAGCCTTGATTTCAAAACACAAAGGTGAGAAGAAAGCCAGCCTTTGAAGTTGCACAAGGATTCGTAGCGCTGGCTTCTGAAAAAGCCTGTGATATGCAAGTCAGTCATAACTGCTTAGAAAAACCACACCAGCCTGAACAAGATACCCAAGCATCATCACTTCCATGGTAATGTAGCAAGACACAATTGTTTTTCCAAAGAACAAGCATATCTCCAATGGGCAGGCTGGCACAAGGGGATAAAAGAGGGAAGTCTGCTCAGAGGGAACGCTGGGGAGAGGTGCCAGATGACACAACACACCCAGTGCTCACAGAATGCTCTTTCCATAACCAATTCTGGGC